GTCGGCCTCCTACGCGAGCTCGTCGCTCATCGCCGGCAGCGTGAGCCCCCTGCGACCGGCGGCCTCGATCCGGCCGCTCAAGGTGCTGCTCGTGGAGGACAACAAGTCGACGCTCCTCATCATGTCGCGCCTCCTCCAACAGCGACTCGGCTACCAGGTCTTTGTCGCCTCCACCGTCAAGGACGCCCTCGACGTACGCCGCCTCCCACCCGCGTGTGTGTCGTGTTGTGTCGTGTGTTTTGTGCTGACATGACGTTGTGCGATTGTGTGTGTTGTGTAAAGGTGGCGGAGCGGGAGCAGGGCAAGTTCGATCTGGTGATCAGCGACATCGGTCTGCCAGACGGCACCGGCCTCCAATTGATGAAAGTGCTCAGAGAGAACTATCGTCTCAAGGTGCCCTTCACCACACAACCTCCCCTTCTTCTCACCACAGCCACTTCGTGTTGGTTGCTCACCAACCAAACCAAACCAAACCAAACCAAACCAAACCAAACCAAACCAAACCAAACCAAACCAAACCAAACCAAACCAAACCAAACCAAACCAAACCAAACCAAACCAAACCAAACCAAACCAAACCAAACCAAACCATCAGGGCATTGCGCTGTCGGGCTATGGCATGGAGGAGGACGTGAAGCGAAGCAAGACGGCCGGGTTCGAGGTCCACCTCACGAAGCCGGTCAACTTCTCCTCGCTCACGGCCGCCATCCACCGGGTCATCCCGCCCTTCACTCCGCCCTCTTCGCCCACCATCGCCCCCACCAGCTCTTCTTCTTCATCCTCCGCCTCTTCGCAATCCTCTCCCGCATCTCCACGCCGCACGGCCTATCTCTCTTCAGCCGCTTCTTCTTCATCATCGGGTCCTTCATCTTCATCTTCTTCTGCGCCGTCGTCGGCGCCCTCTTCGCCACCGGCCGCTCCGCCATCGTCGCCTCGTCTCACCCACCGCGAGAAGCCACGCCAAGACTCACCCGAGTGAACTTCAAGTTGTGGCTTGGCCAACGTGTACAGAATACCACTTAACGACAAGTCGTGTATCTTTTTTGTCCCAAAAAAGGGGATTTGCGCCGTGGTCTTTCCACCGATGAGCCTGAACACACCCTTCCTCTGCTTCTTCCTTGTTCTGCTCTGCCTGGCCTGTGGGGTCCACTCCGCGCCCAGACCTGGGCTGTTCTCGGTGCTGGCCGACCGTGACTTGTGGGTGTTTGAAGACCCCACCTGGCTGGTGACCTTCTCGCCCAGCGCAGTGGTGAGCGATCTTCCGCTTCATCATGAGAGGATTGTCTCCGCGGTGGCCAGTTCCAAGCCTGGTGGCAGCTTCGTGGTGGTCGGTTCGCAGGCTATTGCAGTGCAAAGGCAAGCACACAGCCCCTTCAAACTCGCCTTCAACTTTCACCCCGACATCACTGTTTATGACTCCACCACCAGGGGTACGTTACTCCATATGATTAGAGATCATCATGATGAAATTAAATGTGTCCGGCGATTCAGGTACTCATGGCGGTCGGATCGGTTGGTCTGAGGTTGTGTTCTTTCGCTCCGAGGACGGTGGCTTCAGCTGGACCTCCTGGCCCAGTTAGCCTCACACCTATTCTACCAACGGCTCCTTTTCCTCTTCTGTTGACCTCATTGCGCTAACTCATTCACTCACGCACTCACTCATATCCAAAACTGCGAGTCCATGGAGCAGATCTGAGCCGACCCCTGGTGTTGCGCAGGATGGCCGAGTAGAGCCGCAGGATCTGGAGGGTGGTCTGGGCCGGCAGTTTCTTCCGGTTCTTGATCGTGTTGGCAATGGGGAAGATGAAGGCGCGATTCGTGCCCGTTGCCTCCTCCACCTTCTCGATGGCGGCCTCGACGGTGGTCCCCTCGGGCAGCAGGTCCACCTTGGTCAGGACGGTGAAGTAGGGCAGGTGGCGCCGGGCCAACCCCTTGGAGATTCTGGCGAGGCACTGGAGCGCGTCCTTCTCGTTGAGGAGATTGGCCCCGAAGACCAGCAGCAGGGCGTCCTGCGGCTCCTGCTCGATCTCGCTCAGGCGCCGGCTAGCTTCGTGGGGCATGCGCAGGAGCTGTCTGGGGAAGACCCCGATGAAGATATTGCACACCTCCTTGGCGATCATCGCCCGGGTATTGGCCGCGTCAAGTCATAGGTGATACCCTTGAGGTCCTGGCTCACCACCCGGAGCTCCTGGCCAAGGAGGCTGGTCATGTACAAGTCCTGGCATACCCAGCGATTGCCGTGGTGACTGCTGGGGCCAGGTGAGGGGGTATCATGAACTCTTCGTCTTGCAGCGCAGCCCTGGAGCTGGCCTGCACAAGTACAACATCATCAGTCCACTCCACCAAGAGTGACAATTGCGCACTCATCCTACGTGGGTCATTGTGCGTACCGCGAAGGTCGTCTTGCCCGCTTTGCTGGTACCTACGCAAGTGATGCGGAGTTCATGTTGGCCATACTTCTGTCTTAGCTTCCTGAGATTGGTCAGCTCCGCCTCGATTTGTGCCGCATCATTCTGCTCTTGGTCGCCGCCTGGGGTGCTGGTGGCCGATGGCCAGTCAGCCAAATCCTCTTGCACTTGCCACATTCATTGGGTAGTCTCAGCGTCATTCTCCTTTTTGGACATCCCGAGTCTCAGGTGTTGGGCTACTAAGGCACAGCACGGTTAGCAGTACTCATAGTGTCCACCAACAGGACTTGGCCAGTCACGCACACAGTTACAGCGCAGCTTTCATTGTTGGCATCTTGAGCGTGGCTGGCATTGCTGCCATTGCTGGCATCTTGAGTGTTGCTGGCATAACTGGCATTGCTCTTGTTGTGGGTGTCGCAGAGACAATCATCTTGAGTGTTACTGGCATTGCTCTTGTCACTGTCACTGGTGTTGCTGGCATTGCTCTTGTCAGTGGCGTTGTAGGCAATGCTCTTGTTGCTGGCATCACTGGCATCACTCTTGTCGCTGGTCTCACTTGCGCTGTCCAACTTGTCACTTCCACCGCTTTTGTTGGCAGAGTTAACCTGGTGGTAGACCAGCACTCTTGTTGATGAATCATCAGTGTGGCTCCCGCTTCAGCACCTCTTGGTCAGCCCCCTGGGCACGCATTGCTGCTGCCCGGTCGTAAACACAAGTCAGAAGCACACTCAGTTCAAGCTCAAGCAAGAGCTGGGAATGTGAAGTGTGGCACGTACGATTCCAGGTGAAGTGACAAAGCAGTTGAGATGGCTTCCCAGTGCTTGCTTGGTTATGAACATGTGGCCAGGACATTCAGGACATGTGAATGGTTCATACATGATGACATCAGCCAAAAAGTCTTAAGAAGGTCAGAGGGTGTCTGGTGGCGTGTTTTCAAAGTTGCCCAGTGTTACAGCATAATTATGTCCTTGCTGTACCAATCAAGCAGTACATTTGAAAGCACTTGCCTACTCTGATTATTGCTTGGCACAAGGACAAGGCAATGGTTGGTTGGTTCAAGAGAACAAAAGCAGCAGGCCGCTTGTTGGCCAACAAGCTGCACCCTTTCAGTACATGACGGAGGGCGAGTAGACGCCACCGCTCGGTTCGGCATAGTCGCCGCGCGCCATCATGGTGCCCTGGCGCTGCAGACGCAGGCCCGCTCGCGTGAGCGCCCACCGCATCAGCGACGGGCTCTGCCGCCCGATGACCCGCAGGATGACGTCGTCGTCGCGGCGCTCCGGCGGCACCTGCTGCGTCAGGGCAAAGTGCAGACGCGCCAGCACCTCGTCGCACTCAGCCACGCCGTGGCCCAGGCTCGTGGCGCTCGTGTCGTAACCTACGATGCGGCCGTCGCCGCTGTCACCAACGTCACTACTAACGGCCACCAGCGGGACGTTGTGCCCCACTGCCCACTGGGGCGAAAGACTCGCTTGCAGCTCCACGCTGCGGTCCACCCCAACGATGCGCCTGTGTCGTGAGTGTGTGCGTGTGCGTGTGCGTGTGCGTGTGTGTGTGTGAGTACGTAAAGGAATAGAATCGGTCGTC